GAAAGAGTGAAGTAAGACAGGAAAATGCAACCCATCCAGTCTGTTTTACCTCCAATAGGCCATGCCATCTGCCTTTGGGTGATAGTTTGTATTTTGGTTTCCCTCCTGGTTTTCCCTAACAGCAAGAAGATCCCATGTTCTGGAAGTGTTCCTATGTGGCACCCTGAAATGCCAGTCAGTTTGCTTTAAATGCCACACTCTGAATGGTCCTTCTCTAGATTCCATGTGCTGGGGTGTTTCAGGGTGTTTCTCAGCTGTCTCTGTGGGACAGAGACCTTTCCAGTTGCTCTCTAGTGCCATGGCTGCTCATCCTTGCAGAACGACCAGCAGATCCTGTGTGTCACTCTGCTACTTGGCCTGAACCACAGTGAGAACCCACTGGTAAAAGCTGCTGCTGCCCGTGCCCTTGGAGTCTACATCCTCTTCTCTTGCCTTCGGCAGGTCAGAACTGACCCATTTTTCTTATTTTGAGCCATTTTGTAATAGGTTTAATGAACCCTAAGGTGTGGGATGTGAGTCCTTTTGGAATAGATTTACCTTCCTTGTAGCTTTTTCTTTACCATCTCCAGACCCTGCCTTTTGTGTGGTGAACAGAACGAGGGCAGTTCAAAGAGAGATGAAGCAGAAGCCAGAGTGTCTCCTAAGTGGGAGGAAAAGGAGGGAGGATCTTCCCCAAACTCTCAGGGACAGAAGTGGGAGAGGCTAAATTGGCAGAAAGGAGTTGCAAGAGATGGGGTAAAGCTGGAAAGAGGAGAACAGCTGTACAGCACTCTGGGGAATTTAACAAGTTTTTAATGTGAAAGCTTCAGTTTTGCTTTAAACTAAGAAGTAAACCCTATTTAGAGAAGAAGACTAGTTTTTGCAAGGCCTCAAATGGGTGATGGTAATAACAAAATTATGCAGTAGCTGATGTTGGGATTTGAGTCCAAAATACTGTGAAAGAAAATCCTTTGCCCATAGGCAAGGGGATGAAAATGAAATGTAATGTGCCATAGAGGAGCAGATTAGACAGGCAGCTCAACAGGGAGCTTGGAGAAGCAATTACTTAAGAGTGGGACTCGATGAGCATGACATTGGCAGTCCAGGTAATTACGTTAAAATCCAAAGTAACTAAAAAGCACCAATGAAATTAAGGAACAGATTGAAACCTCAGAGCAACAGTTACCTGAGAGAGTGGTGAATTTGGTCAGCTTGCTGGCTTAGACTGTCAATTAAGGATCAAACAAAGCTGTACAGAGAGCACCACAAACCTGTTAAATATTGTCACCTTAAAAAAGAGTAGGTGAAATACAGTTATTTTCCCTCAGAAGGCCAGAATGTGTATGTTACTAAGGAAATTACCTTTTTAAAAAGTATCTAAGTTGGCAGCAGTTTTGACTTCCACAGGATGTGATGTTTGTGGCAGACACAGCAAATGCCATCCTGACCTCCCTCCATGACAAGTCTCCCAACGTCCGTGCCAAAGCAGCTTGGTCCCTGGGCAACCTCACAGACACTCTGATCATCAACATGTGCGTAAGAACCCTGGGCCTGCAGAGCTCCCCTCTCTGCCCGTGTTCCCACAGTGTCAGATAGAGGGTACTGTTCTACTTAGTGTCAAAAAAGCCAACATTTGTCTTAAATGCTTCTTTTTAACCCCTCTGTGTGTCCGTGACACCGTGATACACAAGTATCCTGTGTCTGTCTGGGCTTGAGTTTACAGAAACACAGGCTGGTTTGGGTTGGAAGGGACCTTACAGATCATCTAGGTCCAACCCCCCTGCATGGGCAGGGACACCTCCCACTAGACCAGGTTGCTCAGATCCAATCTGGCCTTGGAACACTTCCAGGCAAGGGAAGCTCCAGTCAGGAACTAAAATGTATCAGGATTTTGTTGCAGAACAGTGTAGGGCCAGAGTTTAGTTCTACTAACATGCTTGGGTTTAGGGCTTTCTAATCATTAGTTCTGGAGTAGATTCCAAGATTACTTCTCAGTTTTCTATTTCTTGTACATTGCTTAGTGTAATTGCATGTTCCCTGGTTACTTTCAACATAACACAGAAGTAAGAGTAATAAATATTTAACACTTCCTCAGATCAGAGACTGAAGGCAGTCCAACCTGCTGTTACATTTTTAACAGGAGAAATAGTTATCATATATTCCTGCTAAAGAATTGCCTCTGAGCCATTCATTGCCCTCTGTTTTTTATTACAGACTTAATGCATTGCTAACCAGCTTTCTTGCATTGATAGTTTGGTTTTAAATTAATAAACATAGTGGTCACATGTAGGAAGGTCTGCCTTACATATTAGCCTTCTGAAGAGTGAAGGTTGTTCATAAGCCTTTGTAAAGGATTGTTGTCCCATCTTTTGGGGATGGATTATCTGAGCTGTTACCTTCTACTGTGTGATTGTTCTGCTAGGGAAACAATGGGACAAAGTTTCCAAGAGGAATTTTCTGATGTTCTGCTGTTGAAAATGTTACGGTCTGCGACAGAAGCATCCAAGGACAGAGACAAGGTATGACTGAGGGGAAGGAGGAGGGTGTTGTTATAGTGTAGTCAACTTGTGCATTTTTATTAAAAAAATAAATACAATAGGAAGAGACACTGGTTATTTAGAGGCATTTTGCCCCAGCAGATGAGGAGCTGCAGCTCAGCATCCTCTGGTGTTTGGGGGTTTCCCACGTTTGACCTGCAGGGCATTGGATTGTGCTATTCCTGCAGAGGGTGGTTTGGGTTGGTTTTTTCAGGGTGCCCACTTGCAGAGAATAATCTTTCTGGTGTATGACTTTTCTTACTGTATGACCAGACACCACTCTGATTCTAGATGGGCTCCATGGTGGCTCCAAGCATGATTTTGTAGCAGGCTTCAGAAGAGCTTTTCCTATAAGCTGAAAGTTAGAATGGGGTGGGTAGTTTTTTTTGTGTGTCTGTATGTTCCAGGTGAAGAGCAACGCGGTCCGTGCCCTTGGGAATGTGCTGCATTTCCTTCAGCCATATCACATAGCAAACCCCAGGTTCAGGGAAGCTATTGAGGAGTCTCTTCAGGCCCTGATTTCCACTGTTCAGAGCGAGGCCACGATGAAGGTGCGCTGGAACGCCTGCTACGCGCTGGGGAACGTGTTCAAGAACCCTGCCTTGCCACTCGGTGAGTGACTTGTCCCACTGGCTTTTGGATTTGCACAGCAGGTTGTGGCTTGGACAAGAAGGTCTCTGCTACAGGTGTGTCAGGAAAAGGGGGAGAAGGCAGAGGGAGCTGAATCATCCTCTCCTGGCTTTCCCAGATCTTGTGCCAGGGAAGTGGGCTTAGATCCTGCCTGTGCTGATACAGACACAACTGTGCTGTGTTCAGCTGGATCTGTCAAGCTAGGGAAGAGTGGGAGGATGGGATTGGAGCTGTGCAAAATGTCACTTTTCCCTCTTACCTGGCTTCAGAAGATTAGTTTTTAACTAATTTTTAATTTCATAACCCCCGATTCTCTCGTTTAGACCAGGATAAATGTAAGCCCATTAAATATTTAGAGGACATATTTAGAGTTCTGGATATTTTGACTGATTGAAAAAGGGGTTTTTGTTTTTTTGGTGTTTGTTTAGGAGAAGCACCTTGGTCCACACAAGCATACAGTGCCCTTTCCTCAGTAGTGAAGTCCTGCAAGAATTTTAAAGTCAGAATCAAATCAGCCATGGCCCTCTCCATCCCCAGCAGGAGGGAATGCTATGGCTCCACTGAGCAGTTCTGCCAGATCTGGGGTGCCCTGGTGGTGGCCTTGCAGAAGAGTGAAGACACAGAGGACTTTCTGGAATTCAAGTACAGTGCCAGCCTCCGGACACAGATCTGCCAGGCTCTGCTGCATTTGTTAAGTCTGGCAAAGAGCACAGACCTGCCAGGCATCTGGGAAAGCATCAGAGAAAATGGGGATTTGATCAAATCCTACATCTTGCAATATCTGAAATCTGGAGCGGAGGAAAGCGAAGCAGGAACGCACACGGACTTCTGGGAGAGGGAGAGAGCATTGGAAGGAGCTATTGAACATCTTGGTGGGATAGAGAAACAGCTGAAGGGCAAAGCTAGGGCAAGAGTGTCTGGTTATCTGGAGGATGTCTTGGCAAACCATGCCAATGCCACTGAACTAACAGAGGCGTAGAGAGAAACCCCTGGTTCAGTGACCAGTAACTTGGACTTCCCTGTGGGCACAGAGGAGAAACGTGCTGCCCTCACTGCCCCTGGGCAGCCAGGAGGAAAGCTTCCTGTGGGTGGTATTAAACAATTTGCTTCAAGCTTATCACAGAATCATGGAATGGTTGGGGTTGAAAGGAATCTTAAAAGATCATCAGGATCCAACCTCTCATTAGACCAGGTTGCTCTGGCTTTAAACACCTTCAGGGAGGGAACATCAACAACCTCCCTGGGCAACCTATTCCAGCACCTTCCTACCCTCATGGTGAAGAATTTCTTCCTGATGTCTGACCTCAATCTCCCCTCTTTCAGTTTAAAACTATCACCCCTTCTCCTGCCACTGCCCTCTCTGGTGAAAAACCCCTCTTCAGCTTTCCTGTAGGCCCCAAAACGTTTCCTCTGTGTGGTATTTAACAATTTATTTCAAACTGAATTAATTCATAAGGCCTGATGAAAAGATCTGCAGAAGTTTATATTTTATTATTTTTTTTCTGTTCATTGAAGTCTTAAATTGTCTTCCCTTGGTTTTGTTTGTACACTGCACTGTTACAGTGTTGCCCCTTGGAAAACAAATGTCGTCTTCTTTGTATGTTTTATATCACCAGCCTGTTCTCTCAGCTTATCTGAAACCATTTTGTTACTATTGCTGCTGTGTTCAAAACAGTGTTTGTAAAGGAGGGGTCTGGAAGAATTCTGTGTTTCTGAGCACTGCAAATGTTGTCACTCCTGTGTTCCTGCAATAAACCCAAATTTGCCAATATTTGAATAACAACTTAGAGCAAACACACTTTGCCTTTACCTGTGTATGTCCCTGGTGCCCTACACCTGGCCTGTGCCTCCCTGCTGCCTTCACTCCTCCTGGCTTCCAAAAGCTCAAAATTCCTTGTTTCTGGGTGGATGGTACTGTGCTGTGTAAGCCAGAACATTCCAAACTGATCCTCTGAAGCTGGAATTCTGACCTTTCAAGCAGTGTTGGGGCTCTGTTGCCTGGCCATGGGAGGTACAGTGATGTTCTAACCCTCCTGTGGGTTTGTTCCTGCTGTTCCCTTCCCATTCCTCCACTCTGGTGTTCCCGACTCTATTGCTGCACTGAGAGCCAGTGGGGGTCTGAGCTCTCTGATGTTGCTGGTGACAAATCAACCCCTGCAGGAATGAGCTGGTCTGCAGGATGCTCTGAGTGATGAATCTGCTCTCCTAACCCCTGGGTGGATGTTTGAACAGAGCTCAGCACAAGCCCTGCCTGTCATAAAACCTCTTTGGGATACAAACTGCTTTGTTTTTCCACCCTTGCTGCTGGTTTCAGTGGCCTCAGGTGGGGTGCGTGTGTCCAGAACCTCTCTGGAGTTGTGGAGTCTTTTCTACTGGATGTATGAGGCCGGTTCCCTGCCAGGAGTGACTCTCCTGTACCAGTTCTGGGTGTGTGGTCACAGCTGGGATGGAGCTGGATGGAAGTGGCAGAGCTGAGCATCCCTGGCTGGGCCCTGTCCTGCCTCAGGAGCACCCCTGGTTACATCTCACCTTACAAACTGGCACAAATTTGCTCCTTTTCTCCTTCTTTGGCTGCTGCACTTGTCCCCATCTTTTGAACTTCCACCATCTCAAACAAGCCTGAGGTTGCCTGCTGTGTTCTGGAGCTGCCACTTCTCTGGCAGCTGGAACACCAGCAGTGAGGCAGCTCTGGGACTTGATGTCCCACGCGGGGTCGGGCAGCAGACACAGGGTGTCCCTGTGCTGAGTGTCCATGCCAGCAGCCCACGCCCCACATCAGGGTGTTCTGGATGGAGAAATCTCTGGTTTTATGCACCCAAGAAGCAGATGGGAGCTGCTGGGGTTCTCAACAGCATGTAGCCAGCTTCTTTGGTTTATAATCAAAACTTGTGTGAAGTCTCACCTGGCTCTGGAAACACCCAAGGGGTTTTGAGGGAACGTGGACAGGGGAGGAGGGAGAGGCAGGAGCTGGTTTTCTCTCTGGCTGGTGGAACTTCATCCAGCATCTTCTAAGGATGACACAAACAGCAGCTGTGTGGCCTCTCCTGCCATAGGTGTTGCTGGGGGGGGGTCACACCTTACAGGGGGGTAGAGGGGGCAACTGCAGAGATTCAGGCCTCATTTCTGTGGGCAAGGACTGAAAAGCTGCTGGGTGGGGTCCTGAGTCACTCACAGGGGTCAGCTGTGCCCAGCCCCATGGGGTGTTTCTGCTTGCACTTGGGTGCAGTCCTGGGGGTGCTGGAGCAGAGCTGGGATGGGATTTCCTGCCTGATACCAAGGTCAGTGATGCTTTTCTGCGTCCCTTTAATGTTATTTGCTCATTTTTGGTGCCTGATGGGGCAATGTGGGGATGCATGTGCCCTGTGCCACCTGTTTGCTGCCAAGGAGGGGGGGCAGACACAGCTTCTGTCCTTGGCTGGGGGCTGGTGAAGCACAAGGTGCTTGGGGCTGGCAAAAGGCAGCACCTTCCCCACCCCAGCCAAGGTTTTATTGTCCTGCCCCTTTATTGTTGTGTTTACAAGCCAGGCACTTTATAGGTTTCCCTATGAATAGTTTCAAGGAGAAGGTAATTACCTTATCACATGCAGGATGATTTATAGCCAAGGTGGCAAGGGACATTCAAGCTCTGCATCGGCTCCGTTTGAAAGACAATCTGCCTGTTCTTCCACGCGGGGTCATGGGGTGGGTGAAGACAAAAGGGCTTTAGTGCCCGGTCCCAGCACCGGGATGGCTCCTACGGTGGGACATTTCCCCAGCCGTGCCCGCCTGCAGCCTGATGGGCTCTGCCCTGAGCAGCCCCGAGAGGTCAAAGCTCTGGCTGTAAAAGCCCTTTTTATTTCCTGGTGTCACCTGGATGGGTAAATACTCGAGGTGGCCTCGAACCAGAGCGACGTGAGACCGGGGGGCTGGCGTGTGCTGGAGCAGTTAGTTGCTTTTGTTGGGCAGAACTCAGCAGCAGCAGCACCGGGCCCGGCCTGGGGGGTTGTTACACGTCCCCCCCGCCTTCGTGTGGTTATTTTTTTAAAATTATTATTATTTTTTCCTTACCCCGTAACTCGCTTTTCACGGCCTCGGAGCGAAGGGAGAACCCGCGAGTTCCCTCGCGGATGCAGCGCCCGGTGCATCCTGCTGGGCTGGGGGTCTGGGAGCTCAGG